TCATCGCATGTGTGTTCACTGCCCGGCCAAACATCAACCTTCCTTTGGGCCGATCAATGTCCACATGGACAATGAACACACAAAATCTTTATATTCCAAATCAAATTAATTTTACACTGCATAGGCTACTTTGGTAACATGCTGCTTCAATCAATTTAATTTGAAAAGAGAAAAAAAAATATTCATTCAAAACTGTATTCATCGCATGCATGACAAAGTCAAAACGTTCAAGGTTACTTCCATGCAAAGGAGACATGTAAATTACTTACGTGAATGCAAATCACGATTCCAATTTTTTTTTTTTGAATCGGTTCTGTAGACGCATCGAATCACTGATGCGAATTCATTCATTCTTGGGTTCCAAAGGTGCATCGCAACACTGATGCGTCGTTGTTTTTTTTTCTTTTTTTTTTTGGGTTCCAAACATGCAACACCGATTCCAGAGAGGCATTGCAACCAAAGACGCAACACCTATGCGTCTTCTATTTTTTTTTTTTTTGCTTCCAGAGACGCATCACAACAGCATTGAATCATCATCACGATGTGTCCTTGTTTTTTTTTTTGGTCGACTGAAAGCGAAACCGAATCATCAATGCGTCTTTGTTTTTTTTTTTTTGGTCGACTAAAAAACCGAAACCGCATTGATGAACAATGAAACCGAATCATCAATGCGTCTCTCCCTTCGACCGAAACCAAAACCGCATTGAATCATCAATGCGTCTTTGTTTTTTTTGACACACAGCCGAACGACTATATCCATCGATCTAGAGGCAACCACAAAAAAATCGATTCAAACAAAGAAAAAATGATAATCCTAATAACTGAACATGATATAAGGCTCCAATACCACTTGTAAGAATAAATAAAGGGGAGCAAATCAATCCTTAGTCTTGCAGAATCATACCAATACCATTCAGGTACAAAGAACAAGAAGCCATGTTGCACCCCAAAGAATATCATGCTACAGTTATCAAGGAGGCTGTTAGACAGTTTTGTATGCCCTTAGCTTCAATCAGAATGATGTACTTTATGAGTTTATTGTAAATGAATAAAGATACATATTTGATTCAT